CTCACCACCCCTGAGCCTCTGGCCTGTACCCCAGTTCTGTATGTACAAATAAATAAATCTTTAAAAAAAAAAAATCAAATCACAGAGCAGTAAATATCCTCTTCTTTCCTTCTCAATCCTCTCCACTGCTAAATCTTTTCCCTCCTAATCCTTTTCAACTGATAGACATCATAAGAAACTAATTCTTTCTAACTAGTTGTAATAACATGATCAAAAGATCATTGGGATTTTACTGTTTTCAACTTTAAATTTCCTAGCTTCTATTAGATTAAATTTTACTAGCTTTTACCTGTGCTACATCTATAGCTATCTAAATGTATTACGGCTAAGTGAAAAATAGTTTAGTAATATTGTTTTACAAGAGAAATTAACATTAGTTGCCTTATAACAACTTTATAATTGCAAATAATTTAAGTAGCTACAGAGCTAACTGGTTTTTCTAAAAAACAGACATCAAATTTTAATAGTTTCTAAGAGTATAGAAGCTATAATGATGAAATTCTATCATCAAGCGATGGAATTCTGACCAATTCTGCACTAAAACTACTCACTAGAAAACAATGGTCAAATTATTACTAAACATAAGTAAATATTTAGAATGAATAAAGGTGTACCTTTAGAAACACATGTAAAACTTACATTCCAGAAAATGGTTGATTTCTTTCAAGCTTTTAGTTTTATTATAATTTAAAATAGAAAGTGAACTTTGAACTGAAGCTCACCTTTACCTACTTGGAATTTATGTTTTTCTATTTGGAAGGGGCTGGGTAAGAAATTATTAGTAAAGTTATTAGTAAAACTTGTAGCATTCCCAGGTTTAGAACTTCTTCAAATGCATCAACTTTAATTCATTTGGGGACTCTGGGTTACATTTATTTACATAAGAAAGTTAATGATCAAATCTTTGGGAAGCCAGATATATAATTTCTTTCCAGAGGCAGTGATACTAGTTTACCTTACTGGTATTATTATTCTCAGAATCAACTATGTAATTCAGAATCAATGCAGTAATAAAGAGGAGATATGAATGATATCACTTAGTCAAAACTTTTTTACATGAGCAATATTAACTAGTTAAAAAGTCTACAAAACAGATGGCATTTTTGTTTAAACATATACACTCATAGAAAAGTGTGTCAAAATATTTGTAAAAGTTGTTTTTCTTTGCCAGAACTTGAATGTCTGCAGTCTGTTTTCTGTCTTCTGCAATGAGCATATAAAATCATAATATGTATAATTATGTAAAAGTAACTATTAAAAAAATCATGTTCTTTGAATCTTTCAAAGAATCTTTTTCTAAATTATTGCAACTGATAACAAAAGATTGCAGTACAAAACAATTTTTGAAACCAAAAGCAAAAAAATCCCCAAAAAACAATTTATGTGTTTAAAAAATATTCTTGGTAGAGATTCCCCCAAATGTTGTCTTGTTTCACTAGGTGTCTGAAACCATGTCAGATATTTCTTGGGTTATTATAATTAGTATTGTAAAGAAGAATTTAAGGGAAAAATAGTATTATCTGCAAAGTCCCTGAAAGAATTTTTTTTACAAATGTTTTGAAAATCCAAGCATTTTTTGATTCAGGAGTTAACTGCCACCGGGAAATGCTGCTATGTATGAAACACTATGTATGAAATCAACCTAAGAAAGTTAAGTGTTCTTCATGCTTAGAAATTATGTTTCATGATTTCAATTTCATTTTGCTTTACACTTTTAACTTACTCTGAAGAAAATGTATTGAATTTTATTCTAAATTATTTTGCAAAAGGCTTCTTATTAGAGGGTAGGGGATAAAAAAGGTAACTAGTTTGAGAAAAAGTTAACTCAGTTTACAAAACTCTTATGTTGTAAATTACTGGTGTGGAAATCTGAATCAGTAAAATGTAATAAACAATATATACAACCATCACTGTCTTGTCTATCAAGGCCAGGGTAATTCCAAATTCATGCATGAATAATGGCCTAGAAGCTTAATTCACTTTTTGTATCTTTAATGAAAACTATTTTAGTACTCTAGAATATTAAAATATGTACAAAACTATTAGCAGAAAACTGAATTACAAAAACAGAAAAGGTTGCAATTAAGTTCTAAAGCCAAAGCGTTTAAGCTGTGATGGTTTATTATCATAGATACCCCCCTTGGTTACCTTAACAATCTCATTTCTATCATGTATGAGTAAAATCATCACAAAATTCTAAATGATAACAATTCCAGTAAACTAATTATATATGACAAATAACAAACAGAATGGCAATATATCCAAAGAACTTAGTATGACAAGCTCAAGCAAATCAAGTGAAAGTGTGAGGATTAAAGAAATGCTAAATTGGTTATACTAAAGCAGAAGTTAGCAAGCTATGACCTGATCGTCTTTGCAGAGACCATGAATTGAGAATTGATTTTATAATCAGTTTAATTTAATGAAGGAACACTAACTTTGAACCCCAACTAAGAAAACTATTATAACCCACCCCCAAGATTACTATACTTTTCTAATGAGTAGACAAAATATTATACTCTATTATAATCAATACAATTCTGTTTTCACTTTTATATGCAGCTGTAAGATATCCTTGATTTTGTTTTTGACTACAACACCTAAACTATTTTATGTCGATCGTAACAGGAAAAAGTTTGCCAATCCCTGTAACAAAACATTAATTGGATATTGGAGAAATACATACAGTTTTAAGGAAACAAAGAGATCAAATTATTTTAACTTAGATCACTGTGTGGTGTGGGAATCAGTAACCAAGTAAGTCTGTTGAACAAAGGTTAAAGATTTGATTTGAAACTACATGATGGTTACCAATAAAATACAGCAAAAACCAATGTTCTCAGGGACAAACTTAAGAATTACATGGATAGTAAGGATTCCTGATCACACCACTCCTTTCAATCATTTTTGAAAATACAGATATTGAGCAAAATAACTTATTAGAAGTAACATTTTTATTATAGAAGGTAGTACAAGGATTTTAATTTTTTCAAAATGTTCACATCACTCGTAATAAGGGAGATGCAA